AAACTGTCCTTCGTGGATATAATTATATGATATTCTCTTCTAGTGTGTTGCTTTGTGTCCTTGGTTTAAATATAGCAGTTCATGATATGTATTAATCATAATGAACTGTTCACAGACTATTTTTTGTTGTTGCCAGGATCTAGCCAGTGTGTACAACTTGAACATCACAGATATCTACCATTTCTCTGAAACAGACTATGTTTCCACAGAGCAACATATCTTAGAGATGGAAGATATTGTAACAAAGACGTACCAGAGAACTCGGGGTGAGTCATAACTTTGGAAACTTTAGGTAGAGGTCCGAAATTAAACTGATCATTTTAGTGATTATGGCCTCCTGGGTCCTGAAGCTCTAAAAATTGAGGCAGTATGTTTCTCCAAAATGTTTGGTCTCGCCTGTAAGTCCACACAGTGTCACGACTCAAAAGACATCCATGGACATCTTCACCACTGTGAGAGTCTTGAATCACACAAGTTTAGTTGGTACTTGTGGGTTATCAGGACACATCGCTTTAAAAATAAGTTAGGTTAGGTTAGGTTAGCAATAAATAACTGAATGAACTAACAGATAACAACAACCCTAACCTAACCTAGTATTAAAGTGATGTGTCCCGATAACCCACAAGTACCGTTCAGTTAAATCTGGTTATTTGTTTGGAAAGATACTATAGAATACAGTGATGTAGCTATAGAACCAAGATTTTCAAAATTATGATGTCTAATGATAGCACGTGAACGGTGTAATAATTAGGTGCTCTGGTTCCATGTGCAGTGTACGTATTTGTGGGAGAACACATTGCATTGGTGGACTTTGTATATTGCCTTCAAAGACTCCATCTACTGGACAAAGGAGAATACATCATAATTTCTGTGGACGATGAGATTTATGACCCTGACCATCGACTCAACATCGTTCAACGGGGCAAGTACCAGGTTGAAATGATGGCATGCTGTTAAAATAAGACTCAGTTGCTGTAAAGTTGGTTTTTTTTTTTAATTCCGCAAACATAGCCAAGTATTGTTTTTAATGTTAAAGTCATGTATGAAAAACATGATCATCAGTTTCCACAAATGACTTATTTCTGCTTGAGTGATTACTCAATTTCCAAAATCATACCACATAAAAATTGGAATAGTAATCTAGATAATTTTGAAATTCTAACATTTTTGTAATTCCGTGATGGAATCCACTGAAAGTGAGACCCAAAAGCTGATTGTATCTTTCACAGAATGTAGTGTTATCATATAATTTCAGGTTACTCTGTTACTTTGTCTTATACAGTAGCAGTAATGTTTACGCCTGAAAAATTTAACATTTAAAACATGCATTAATGTTTGTATTCATCTGATATTTAAATCGATGACCGGATTCCTTAGTATCTGTTATTGAAGAGTTAAATACATGAGAGCCCTATAAGGCAGATTTTGTCCCTTGTGGCAGTAAATTGGCCAGAGTATGCACGTGATGTCTTATTTCTCTGACGGTGAATACGGTTATTAGTGATGTTGGTGGAATCGTAGCTAATGTTTGGATCTTTCATGTCAGGTAAGTCAAAGTAGAAGAGCCAGATGAAAGTGTTCCACTTGATCTCAAGTTTGGTGGTTTTTATTTGGTCAAGCACCTGAGTATCGTAAATTTTGGGTTATGAAATACACTGGAGGAGATTCTTAACAATTATTTTTCTGCATGAAATATAATGCTAGGAAACTCCTGAAGAAAAGAGTCATGACATCTCACAACAAAAGAATACAATGAAATGAAAATATTATCGAAAGGGAGTGGTTACATCAAGTGACAAGAAAGTTGCAGACATATTGGTAAATTCTTAAACTTCAGTCCTCGTAACTGAACAGTCCAAACATATCCCGTATGCAGTGTTTTATACAATCCTAGACTGAAAACACTACACAGCTGGTGTTTTACTTTTATTCTTCACAGAGTACCTGGATCCTTACTTGTATAATCGGAACTTCAGTCGGAAGATCATTCTAGGCTTCCGGTCAGTGCTTAAGCTGACGCCTTCTCATCCTCGGAATCCAAAGTACAAGTTAGTAACGCTGAAACAAGAAGTAAAGTGTGTATAAGATGTGTGATTTTACAATATCATAAATCAAAAACTGGTTTGAAAAATAGATGTACCTTATCATGTGTGTCTTGTTGCAGGGAGTTATGTGAGCAGATCAAGAACTTTTCTCTGAAACCACCCTTCTGTGTACCATACCATGAGAAGATATATGACAGTATCTCCGTCAGTATCATACAAATTGCATGCATACACGTTGACCATAAAACTAATCTATCAGATAAATGATTTTGTTATCATGTTTCACATATACTACTTTTAACATGTTAGGAAATATTTTTATTTTACTTTTTGTGTGTTGGAATGAGGAGATGACCAAAGTAAGATTAACAGAATGTCAGCTGTTAAGATATTAATGGAAAGGGAGCATTATTTCAAGACCATTAAGTTGGGAAAAAATATATTGTGTGATTTTCTCCAGAACAAAGAGATGAATGTGGGAATTTTAATATCTCATCAGGTGCCGATAGATGCGGCCCACCTGTACGACGCCGTCATGATCTATGCACGAGCTCTGACCGAGGTGTTCCAAAATGGTGAAGATCCACGTAATGGTTCAGCTGTGCTTCAGAAGATTCGCAACCGTTCTTATCACTCTGTACAGGGCTATGATGTGTGTATTCCTAGTTTTGGAAATTGTGAATAACTGTCGTTTCTTAAGTACGAAATAGTCCGTAAAGAGCCGATTGTTGCTCAGCTAGTCGTGAAATTCCCTACCTTTCGTGGAAGCCAAAGGTTCACTAACATAATCACAAGACCCCTACCCCTAGTCCCTGTTTAGAACCAAGTAAGTCAAGTCCATGCTCTCCTAACATATTTCCTTACAATCTGTTTTAATATTATCCTCCCAGCTATGCTTAAATCTTGTGAGTGATCTCTTACCTTTTGGCTTTCCAACCAAAATTTTGTATGCGTGTCACATCTTTCCCATGGATTTCTATTGATGGCTGGTGAAAAGTACAGGTAACGGAGATCGTTACCGCGCGGAACGTTCGGCATTAAAAGTAAATCACGTGTATTCGAGTCCCATAAACAGCGCAGTAACTATATCGAAGATAAATATAGTAGAAGATTTAATTTAAAGTTAAAAGTAAACAGCATATTATGCTTTGACGTTTCTAACTGATGAAAAAGTGTCTCACAAGTTAGATTTCAGACGACTCGGTCGTTTTCTGAGATGAGTTTACGGTTCACATTTTTCATGTCGCAGGTGTTTATTGATGGAAATGGAGATGCTGAGGGAAACTATACTGTGGTGGCACTATTAGATGATGAAACTGTAAATGGAAGCTTGCGAATGAGCATGCAGACTGTTGGCTATTTTCAGTACACTCCAAATGCCAGCAGCAACCCACATGAACTGCCTGTAAGTTTATCTCCTTGGAACTGTAGTTTATCTTAAATTTTGCTGGAATCGTGGTTATATAATCATAGAGGGAAAGAATGAAGGTGTGGAGCACTGAATTTGTCTTGAGGTTATGTTGAGCTCTACGTTTTGTGATTTGTAATAGCCGTAGAATTTGGGGTTCTTCAAGAGTGAGCAATATCTGACTGGTGAGGTGTAGTGCAGTTAGATAAATGGAATAATATTTTATTTTTTACGTATCTGTAATTATCGTCTACTCTACCAGTTTCAGTGTTTCATAAGGTTAATTAAATGTTAATGGCACAAATCATATTCTGGCCGTTTCAGTATTAGCTGAGGAGCAGTTTCTTTTGTGAGAAGATTATAGTTTTTTGAAAAAAATATATGCCAAGTGAATGATTTTCAGATGAAAATATAAATATGACTACAACTTGATTAGATCAACCTTTTCATCTTAAATGTTGCGGCATCTACAAATTTGTGATTGCTTTGATGTTGTCTTTGCTAGACGTACTCTGACTTTTAAGTTTATTTTGTTTAATTTTTATTTTAAATATGTGTTTGAGAGAAAGTGGTGGGAGTAAATTTGTGAAGCCGTACGTAACACCTATCATAGAAATCCCAACATTATAGTTTTTTAAATCTGCTGATAAAAGAATGATCAGATTGGTTTTAATTATGAGCTGATAACTTAGGGTCTTTGACTGTTATTTACATCTATCATTATTTTCTGTTTTTAGAAGGAACTTGTAATCTAGTAATCCAGAAATATTGAACATGAATGCATTTTGTTATTTAAAATGTATATTAGATTCAGTTAGATTAGCCTTTGTGCAGTCTGTGAACTCAGATCAGAATGTGGACCTAGTCACTGTACAAGAATGAATGAAAACAAGATGAAAGATTGCTCTTTGGAGTACACTGACATTCCAAAGGTATGCTTCATACCAGAAATTATACTTTTATTATTGCATCATTAGGTGTTATGAAGTGATTTATGTTGCAGGAATTCAAATACTTTGATGAACATAGAAAAATTCAGTGGGTTGGTGGTGTTCAGCCCCAGGCTGAGCCACCCTGTGGATTCCAAGGAGAGAAATGTATCTACAAACCAGACTGGAGGGTGATTGTGACATTATCTGTCCTCTTCTCCCTGCTGCTTGTTGGGGGCATCTTTGCTTTTAAGTAAGTGGTTTGATGTCATATGGTGTCAAACATAGAATACCATTGAAAACATAACCTAACAACAATTACATACTGTGGTACAAAAATGAAATCAGGAGGAGGTCCATCTCCATGTAATAGACTATCCCAACCTTCCCTGTGACACTGAAGTTGAAGCCATCCTGCTAACTGGTTGCAAGGCTGATGCTGTTTGTGCAAAAGGTGTGTTGATGTGAGCATGACGTATTCACGAGCAGAACACGTGTACATTCTCAAACGTTACTTCACATCAAAATCACATGCTACTGCTTGTGAAGCATTTAGCAGTGCATATACTCACAAGGAAGCACTGAATAAAGCAAGCCAGTGATCGGTAATAAAATTTTGGGTCACAGGAAACGTTTCTGGGGTCAGACGTGTGTATCTGCTAAAACTGTCCTGTAAATTCTGCCTTACTATATTGTATTCATATCACCAAAGCTTACAAATATTGTAGTTGGGGTCGTGTTTTAAATGGAACACTTGATATGGTATCATGTCTAGTGACTACTATAAAGCTTGTGGCGAATGATTTTTGTAAATTTTTAGACCGTTTTCTTTGAAATGGGACAAAATCGTAGATATCTGAATATTTCACTGTGTGGAAATACCAGTGTTATGTTTGACATCTTTAAATTCTGAAAGTGAATCATGTTCTCCCACAAATTTTTGTGTGGACTGATGTTGGTAATGTGATATTTCAATAGATAGCGTCAGTGTGATTTTCATACCAAACCTGTGCAGATTTATACCAAGTTTCATTACTCAAGTGTTGCTAAATGTATGAAAATATTTGTGAGGTGATTGAATACAAGAGAAGAAACTGAGAAGGCTGACTTTTAACTCACTAACAAATTAACTGACTAAGTTTATGGGTCCAGGTCTATGAAAAGTTACTAGTAATCAGCTGGTCAAGAAAATTCCTCTTTTATGGAAGCCAGATGTTCATTATCATGGTAACAGAAACCTATAATTTGTCCCTGTCCCAAGCCAGTAGAATCCACTTTGCACCTTCACACTGTATTCTTGTATGGTTCATTTTAATATTATGCCACCATTAATGTCTGTATCTCATATATATATTTATACCACTATTAAATTGTTACACGCAACACATTGTTGTGGCAAGCATACTACAGTGCCATTTCTTCCTGTTTCAGGCATTATCGCTATGAGCAGAAATTGGCATGTCTGCTATGGAAGATAGACATGCGAGACGTCACCGTCATCCCGACAGAGACTGCCGAAGCCACAAACAAGAGTATGGTAAGTGCCTCCTTGTCCTTAGAGTAGTGATGTATTTCATAAATAGTTGTCTCTCTCACTGACTGTGTCATAATGCTTTGAGACCCAAGAATTGAAGTACATTTAAATTTATGAGGAATAACAGGTACTTGAAATTTATAGTGTAGAAACAATACACAAAATTATCAAGCTTGTTTTTAATCTTCTCGTCCTCCTATAGCTTCTGTGCACGTTCGTGGCAGAAATCAGCACTCAAAAGAATTCTTCTCTTAGACGGAGACCTGTAAATTGATGCCGCGTAGATCGACGTGCGTGCGTTACAGTGCGAAGAAAAATAAATAATGTCGTGATCTATACAGTTGTTAATGGTCAAGTATTTAGGTTTTAAAAGAAATCACTATTATTTAACCCAAAGGTTTATTGTTGTCATCATGAATGTCATTATTATAAACTCTCCCAGTGCTTTATGTAACTGAATTAAAATAATAAGAAATTAAAATGTTTTATTTGATGGTAGACCTGCATCAGCCTTATACTGATGTACTGCCAGTAGCTCAGTTTTACATCTGAATGTTTTTAATATATGAACTCGGCAGATTCAAGTGTGTCGGCAGAGCGCGTTCCAATGCGGCGCAGCTGTAGGAGGCAGCATTGTAGTGGAACAGCCTGAATTGAGCCACAAGAGGGCTTATACACGCATAGGCCTATATCGTGGAAACATCGTGGCTATTAAACTTGTTTATAAAAGAAGCATTGATATTACAAGGAATATTCGCAAGGAACTGAAACAGGTAAGTTTATATTTGTGTAAATTTTATGTCAAAAAGTGCATACCTATACAGAGTTGTCTCTGCAGCTGCTTGAATGTACAGTAATTAGTTTCTTGAGTGTGCTTTTATAATGCTGTTCCTTTTAAACTCAAACTAATATTTTTCTTGTTTTCCTGTTTATGCGGTTTGTGATTCTAGATCCGCGAAGTTCGACACGATAACCTGATTCCTTTCATTGGGGCTTGTGTGGATCATGGGAATCTGTGTGTGTTAACAGCTTACTGTGCAAGGGGAAGCCTGGAAGATGTTTTGGCTAACAAAGACTTACATCTTGACAACATGTTTGTGTCTTCTCTAGTATCAGATATCCTTAAGGTAAATTAGATTTGAGATGATTTCAAAACTGCAATGATGAAACAAGTACAGCTTTTATCTGTCTCTATTTATGTCTTTGTATGGTGGTTATTTATGGCACCACTGTTTTTTGGTCAGGATTAATATATTTCTGCACATTTCTTGTGATAAAATAAACACAGAATATTGTATTTTAAATTTTAAGTTTAAAGTTTCTGTTACCAGAAAACAATGATTTTTCACAGAGACACTGCTGTACGTAGCAAGAACTGTTATTCTTCTCTGTCTCAGAATGGAGTCAGACTGAGACTCTCACTTTTATTTTTATGCAGACAGTGATTATCATTTAAAGAAGAAAATTATCCTATGATAACTAGCACTGTTGTAATTAAGTATGTGTATCGCGTAGAACGATGTTTGCCGTAGGAGAGGCACGGGGAAATTTAGAATCCTGCTTGTTTTCCATATTCTAGTCACATGCCCAGCCTGTCATAGTGTCTTAGATTCTATTATCCCGGTAAAATCAGGTGACGTTTTGAAATTTGTCAGTGAAATATAAGTGTTAGGTTGTTTCGATTTTTACGATACTCTAGGAAAAGAAAAGAAATTATTTCCTTCTCACGTGAATTTAACACAGTGACATCGCATTATAGAGAAGGTTAAGACTTAATTCTGTGCCTTGTTGTGAACTTGAAGGTTCATTACCATCCCATCCTCTTTGATTTGATCAGTTTAATAGTTTTTGGTGAATAGTAAAAATTATGAAGCTCCTCATTATTCAATTTTCTTCAGGCTTCTGTCACTTCATCTCTCTTAGGTCCAAACATTCTTTTCAGCTCCCTGTTCACACCCACAATCTGTGGTCTTCTCTTGATGTGAAAGACCATGTTTTATACCCATACAAAACAAGTCAATTTATAACTTTGTATACTTCATGTAACAGATAAGATACAATATTCTGTTGCATAAGAACAATTTAAAAATTATACTTTTGAAAATTATAGGGTTGTGAAGCAAACTTCCATAAATTTATGCAGAGTTCATTTTTTCATGGGTTTGCTATACAATATGATACAATTTTTAGTTAATTACTTCACTTCAACTAATATCTATAATGTAGTAAAATTAAATTTGTCTTGATGTGCATAACATACTAGAATGTAAGGTATAATATGTATGTGATATGTATGTGTCTGAAAGGTTATTTGATATATTTTGGAGGTTTATTTTGACATTCAGATGAAATAAGATGAAAAGTATGAAGCTGAGACTTATGCAAGGAATGAGAACTAATGTGTTTCTTTAGGGAATGATCTACCTACATGATAGTGAGATCATGTCCCACGGCAACTTACGCTCAAGCAACTGTCTTGTGGATTCACGCTGGGTCCTTCAGATTACAGACTTTGGTCTCCATGAGTTCAAAGGTAAGCCAATAACAAGGATATTCTTAAATAACTTAAAAATTGTACTGGGATTAGGTAATTTAAAGAAAACAAGGTCACGAGATTTCTTTGATGGCTTTACGTCTGCGGATACCTGGTGTAAGCACTGAGAATCTCGTTTCAGTAGGAAGACCTTTCACCGCGTACCGCACGGTACATTCACGGAATTGACGGCACTGGCGGCAGAACAGCCGGACCGTGAAGCTCACCTCTTGCCTCCATATAGTGCAAAGGTTAAGCATATATGAAGGTGGAACAGTTATAAATTACATTTTTAAAATGTAATGGTATAATAATAACCATTTCATACCATATCTGAACAGATTTAAATGAATAGTAATTTATTAAAGGAAGAGAGGAGACCAATAACTGAAGCTGAAGCAAATTTCAAGACTCTTTCTGGGCAGGTTCTTCATCACTTGTAATATTTGTATATTTAACATAGTTATTGTAATTAATAACATGAGCATGGGAGTCATGTCTTACTTGAATCAATAGCAGGTCAAGAGGAGCCAGATCACAAGCAGAAGGAACTGCGGCGCCACCTGTGGCAAGCACCCGAACTTCTGCGAAGTCCAAACCCTCCACCACAAGGAACTCAAAAGGGGGATGTTTACTCATTTGCTATAGTCCTGTATGAGATCATGGGGCGAGCTGGTCCTTGGGGCCAAGTTGACATGAAATATGACGGTAGGTTTAGAAATGTGTGAAATATGCAGAAATAAACAGTTATAAAATTAACCCTATGATGGTAAAAAGTATTTAAAGTATGAATATTTTTTGATATAATGGTAATGGTTAAGTTGTAGGATTTGAGGCGTTCACGGCGGTGAGTCTGAAGATGGCTGTCTTCTGGATTGTGCCATGTAGTGTGGTAGAAGTTTAACAACCCAGAAGACATCCATCTTGGTTAATTAAATTGTAAGCAGTAAAATTGCAGCAATTTACTTATGTGGCCATAAATGACAAGAAAATCAATGCCTTTTTTCAAAATTTCATGCTACATTTCTTAAAGTATAGGGAATTTTATCATTCACTCCAACCTTGAAAGTCTGTCCGCGGTTTCAGAAATCGTGGAGAGGGTACGTAACCCAGCGGAGGGTCACATTTTCCGACCACCGACCGAACGTCTCGGAATAGCAGACTACGTCTCACGCTGCATGCAGAACTGTTGGGATGAAGATCCAGAACAGAGACCTGACATCCGCTACGTCCGGGCGAAGCTGAAAGAGATGCAGGCCGGACTGTAAGTTTCATGTCAAACAATACTTTTGAACTTAGGAATAATTAATTGGTACAGGGGAGGGAGAGGTGTTACTGGCTGAAGATCCATTCTGGAGGGCCAACAATTTTTGGATGGATGGGTTATAGATCGTTCAACAATGTTGTGCGCACTGTCATATGAGTGAATGATCCCATTGGTGAAATTGAAAGGCGTTTGGGAGGAAGTGGTGGTCGTATATTTCAGGGTACTACCTGGAATCCAGCCGATAAAGCTCAGACAGACTAATCACATAGTTCTTATGATAAGTTTGAATTTTTCACTTCAGAAATATAGACAGATCATAAGACACAGATGGCCTATGTAGCTGACTCATCTAAAATACCTTTGTAGTCATACCTTAAGGATTTACATATTCTCATGAGTGTCACAGCAACGAATTTCTAGGAAGTCGAACATCTTCGACAATATGCTGGCCATCATGGAGAAGTATGCTTACAACCTAGAGGGGTTGGTGCAGGAGCGTACCAATCAGCTTGTTGAGGAGAAGAAGAAGACAGAAGCTCTTCTGCATCGCATGCTGCCAAAGTGAGTAATCTGTCCTTTCACAAGATCACATGGAGGGTTTTGCACACTCTTCAACCTTTATCAGTAATGCATCATGCCATATGCACATTCTTAGTATGGATATTAAATCCCTATTCCCACATGATAAATATATTCCTTCTCACTCTGGCAGCGACGAAAGAATCCATTTCTGACGTGGGATCACTTGTTTGGTGGATTCCAGTATCCCGTTGGTTGCGGGACTCTCGTCAGATCTTGAATATTGGCAATGCTTTTCTTATTGCAGGACTGTGGCAGAGGCATTGAAGAGAGGAGATCCAGTAGAAGCAGAGAGCTTTGACTGTGTTACTATTTATTTCAGTGATATTGTGGGGTTTACTGAACTGTCAGCTGTCAGCACACCACTGCAGGTAGTTGATGCAATTTCCTTCATTACCATTATTACTGCAGTGAGCAAAAACATAGTTTTATTTTTCATTTACTAATGCACGGTAGCTTTCTTATTATTGATAGCCGTCAGATGTTTAACCTTTATCGCGAGGGCATCATGGCTTATGCACGAATCAGGTGACCATGTGTTACATTTGTTTTGCGCAAAATTGTTAAACTGGGTACTGGATACTGCGAACGACCCATTCTGGAAGTGCCCGAGCACCGCGGGTCCCAACTTTTCGTTGGCTCGATCTACAGACATAGGGTAGGACTCCTCGGACAAGGCCTCTACCTGTACACAGGGCAGCACGACACAGAAAAACACGGACAAACATCCACGGCTTGAGTGGGATTCGAACCCAAGGTCCCAGCTACCAAGCGGCAGAATGCCCACGCTTCAGACCGCGGATCCCACAAGATTGTTAAACGCTGGAGTTAAATTCTAGCTAGCGATCCCATGGTACAAGGGTTCTATCTCCTATTCCTACATGATAAAGGTGAATAGAGACATATCTGAAACATGAAACCTTTTGCAGTGCACCTGAACAAAACTGACTCAATGAGCTTTCAGGTTCTCAAGGCAGGGAGTATGAAAATGGCTGCCTTCTCGGTTCTTCTGCCATATAATATGGTGGATGTCTGTCTACGTTTCACAGGTTCTTGCTGCTTCCCTCATCAAGCACTTCTGAAACAATGACAAACTTCTACCAGACTACATCATGCAACAACTCGGGAGACAGCCATCTTAAAATTGATTCCCACCACCACCACCACTACTATTTTGTAAATTATAATCAGCTTCCCTTTATAAAATATTTGAAGTTGCTTTCCATGTTATTACAGTAACTTGCATTCATTATTGTTTATTAAAATTTGTCCTGAAATTTAAATGAGACAAACCAAACCATCTAATACAAGGATTCCTTGAACATTCAAAGCAGTGTGCTTTTGATAATATTTGTATTAATTGCTATAATCTCATTTGAGGCAAGCAAAAGTAAGATAATGTTATTTGTCAATTATTGCAGGTCGTGGACCTGCTGAATGACCTTTACACTTGCTGTGACTCCATCATCTCAAACTACGACGTCTACAAAGTCGAGACGATCGGAGACGCTTACATGGTCGTGAGTGGTCTGCCAGTACGAAATGATGACAGACATGCTGGAGAGATTGCATCCATGGCCCTTCATCTTCTTAAAAAAATAAAACGTTTTGAAATCAGACACCGGACAGGAGAACAGCTGCGCCTCCGCGTCGGTATTCATTCCGGTAGGTTTCTAATAACCAGCATTCTGGTAATATAACTCAGATACCACTAATAATGAATTCTTCCATTAGACATGATCATGTTGTGTTGCTGTCAGATTATTTTTTATGTCTATCCACAAATCACCTTCTCTTTTCTTCAAAGTGACCACATTTCTGAATGTTTCCACCCTCCCCAAGGAAGCTGTATATTAAGCCGATCTGAATGATCTTAATGTGAGTAATTAACAGCTTGTGTGTTTGTAGTTTATAGGATGATTTCTCTTTATTTAACTGTGTAATTCTATTGCCAGAGTATAGATTTTAGTGTGCAAAGAAGACATTGACTCAAGTACTACCAAATGTTTGCATTTAATTAAGTGGATGCATAAAATATTTGTCTGGTCTTCTCATCTCTGTATGAATATGTTTATTAATCTATATCATTCAGGAAGAGAGGATTTAAACCCCCATGATTTAGGCCTACTGGCTGGACTCGGGCTTTGGCGCCGAAGGTTTAGCATCTTCTTACTCGAGTGCACGGGCAGCTGGACCGTACATAAGTCGTGGTGCACAGACAATAAAGATTAATGATTATAATCAACTCATCATTATCGTCGTCGCCATAGCATAGTTTTTGTTTTATGTGGGTTTTTAGATCAACTGATTATAACTTTCATGTAATGTTATATTACAGGCCAGTGTGTTGCGGGTGTGGTGGGACTCAAGATGCCCCGCTATTGCCTGTTCGGTGACACAGTCAATACTGCAAGTCGTATGGAGTCGTCAGGTGAAGCATTTCGCATCCACATCTCTGAGGCAACTCATATTTTGCTGGATCGTCTAGGGGGTTACTATTGCGAGGAAAGAGGGCTGACACAAATCAAGGTATGCGAAGTTGCGGTTCACAGTCAGGCCATGACTGTACTGGTGAATTAAATAACTTATACCATGGTTACTTATTTATTTTTTTATATAATTTCAGTATATTTCCTTAAGCTTCAGTTTACTGTGATCTTTTTAAAAAATGTTACTGCAAATAAGCAGGCTGGTGTAGCAGTAATAATCTAGATTTGGATGCAGATGTACCCAGTTTGAATCTGTGCTGTGCATCTGTTAATCCAGACTGAGTATTTTTTGTGTTTTTTTCTCATTCTTTGTAGGTTAGTGCCAGTACAGTATCTTGAAATAAGCCATGTCAACCTGTTTCCAAGTCAGTGTTCCCAAATGAATGGGTCCACAGCTTATTTTTAAAGTTGGAAGTTTGTCAGTTTGTAGTAGGCGACCTACAGCATGCAGAAAGAATAGGAAAACTATAATATGTGTAATTTGGAAGGTGCCAAGTACTACGTTGACAAATTGAGAAAAAGTGTGAAAGTGTCTGGCCAAGATTCAAAGGGAAACATCTTCAGTACAAATCTACAGCCTGCTGGGTCCTTCATGGTGCAAAAAAGTGAGATAACTGGTGTCAGTACTTTCAGCAGACAAGATCAAGGAGTACATCAGATATCTTCGCGTGTATGCGAGTGTCACGCGTGTCTTACCACACTTTACAATTCTGTAACCCATTTTTGTAGACTTTCTGTCGCTCATTCATCTCTTTGTTTATCCTGTCATAATTTTTTATATAAAAATTATATTTTATTCAGTACATTAAATAAACACTGTAACAAGATCGTCTGTCGTTTCGCGTTTCTTTCTCGTATGCAGGGAAAGGGAGAGATGCAGACATACTGGTTGGTGGGAGAAGACCCCGCACATCGGCTGGCTAGAATCGGTGGGGAGACGATCGGCTCGGCAGGGATTTTCAGTTCTGACCGTGAGTGTCTCTCATTTCTTATTCTTACTGTAAGTACACAAAATGCTGAATGTATTGAGCTGGCTCAGAATCATATTGAGGAGTAGCATTTTTCTTGTAGCGGTTACATTTTGTTCACTGAAACTAACTTGGAAGACAGTAAATATTATCAGTATGAAGTATTGTGATGATTTAATTTTTATTAATATCTTGCTGATATAAAGTGAGCCAAAATAAATATTGATGTTGCAATGTGGTGAGTAAATGTGAGGTTTATATTGAAAGAGTCACATAATCTTTTGGATCACGTATCACGTCACTAAGCGCCGTGTGAACTATTTATCTCCGTCTACATGCATCGACGTATCGCACAGGGTCGAACGGGCTTGAGACACCGGATCTGTTAAGGCACCCTACGAGCACCAACATTCTGTCCGATGAAGATTCTCCATCTGACAGTAAAGTCGAGATGTTGCACCAGCTACATATGCGAGCCTTCAAGGCATACACAAAACAACAGGTATGAGGGTAGAGTGACCACATCTTGGTGGTAATATAAGGGTTGTTCAATAAATAAGTGGACAACAGTGAAAATGTTTATGGAACATCGATATGATTAAAGGAAATTTGTGTCGATGTTACAAGACTCATCCCAGTGTTTTGCTAGTAAGCTTGAACCATTCTCACAGGAAGTTGATTGGTGATGGTAGAAAGTTTTGAAATATGCAGGTTGGTCTTCTTATTTATTGGGCAACTCTTACAGTAGATGAAATAGGGTGTTTATAGATGTTACAGCCACCGTGGAAAGCGGCACCTTAAATATTTCCTGCCATCCGAAACAAAAAATTACCGTACGAAAGCACTCTTTTGATTGTGATTTGGAAAATATTATTGCTCTGTCAACTTTTAGTCATACAGCAAATGCACAAATTCAAATGGAAAATCCATGTTATGATGGGTATAAAAATGAAAAGTAAGGACAACATTTTCATATTTTTTGATTCTGCTACATCAGCCAAAATAATTTAGAATGAAAACCTGCTTGAAAACTGTAGATGGTCTAATGTCAATGGTGATGAAAACAAATATTAAATCTGACATCTGATAAAAAAGGGATATAATGTATCTGAATCAGCCTGTATGTGGTGGAATAGAGAAAAATCCCTGATGCATTTTGGTCATGATGATGGCTAAAGATATACTGGCAGTTTTTTCTTTGAATTGTGATAAGAGTGTTACAATCTGTTTTACAGGAAATGTGTCCAGGGATTACAGCGAGTTGTTCCAGTACGTTACGCATTCCATCCCCGGGCCGCGGCGTTGCCGACAGCTGCGCGCGCGGCCATCACTCTGCTCCCACCATAACATTTCAGGAAAGTTCTGCATCACTTCCAGGAAATTATGTCTGACAGCCTGTTACCTGTGCCTGGAGTGAGCTGTTTATTACAAAGTGATGTTACTCGTCTGATAATTTGATTGCTGACTGAATTTTACGATGACTTCAGAATACTAAGATAAAAGTTATCTGGGTCTATTTAATGTATTACTTTTAACTGTAACCATATTACTGACTTTTACACACAGAAGAAGCCAGTTAAAGATGGCTGTTCTCTGGTTTGTAACACCATGCAGTCTAGTAGAAGTTTTAAAATTGCTTGCGGCTTCCACCATTGTCCTGATGATGGAGGCAGCATGTACCTCTGAAACTCAGGTAAGCTTCTACCAGACTATGTGGAATTACAACTGAGAAACATCCATCTTCATACTAAGTTCCCCTATGATGACACTACGTGTAGCTTCACGCAACATTAATTTCAGCATTAGTTGTTGAGTGATCAACTTCATGCCCCAGCCGCCTTACCATTAAGGAAGAAGTCCTGTGATGTTTTGGATAGAATGCTGGGTGGTCTGCGTAGCTGGCAGATCCCTCTTCATACTGAGAATTCTACTTCTATTGTCAAGCCAGGGGCCAGTAACTACACCGACTGGCCTATCCCGGCTCTTTCTGGCATTAATTTTAAAACGGTACCAAGCGGAGATATTAATTTAGAATGATTTTACTTGTTCTGTAAGGAGCAGAATTAACCATGTCGACGGCGGTCTTCTGGGCCTAACGGTCCGCGGACTCGTAGGCAGATGCCGACGTGACGCAAGAGACGAACTGTCGTCACTCCGGTACCGAAGACAGAGGAAGTACGTCCCTTTATAATGTCGGTATCTACCTACAAGTCCAGATGGTTTTACAACTCAGAAGGCCAGCCAGAATTAACCATACTTTTTTGTTTATTTTTACTCTCTGAAATTTAAGGGTTAGTATTACTTCATGAGTTATGTACAACGTGCTACGAGGAGCGTCCACAAAGTAAGTTTCCCACTCGTCCCACAGCTAGCAAACCTTATATTGCGCGAAGCGACTGTGCGTACGTGATAGAGCAATGACGTAGCATGGCGCATGCACTAACGGCACTTCCCGCGTTCTCACAGTAGCATCGTTGCAGCTGTTGAAGATGGAGATTCTTATTCCAGCTCCCGCCGACTGTGAAGTGCGGTCAGTGATAACGCTAGGCCGCACACGGCTCAACGGACAGCGAGTCTCCTGCAGGAGTTCAGCTGGGAGGTGTTTAATCATTCACCCTACAGCCCGGACCTCGCTCCCAGTGATTTCCATCTTTTCCTACACCTCAAGAAATTCCTGTCCGGTCAGCGTCAGCGTCAGCGTTTTGAGAATGAAAGAGAGGCGGAGATGGTTGTCACACAGTGGTTCCAATCCCAGGCGGCAGACTTCTACGACACAGGTATTCAAAAGTTGGTCCCACGGTATGACAAATGTCTCAATTCCGGTGGCGAATATGTTGAAAAATAGCTGGACACTTGCTGTATCTGTTGCAATAAATATTTCCATGAAATTGTGTTTTGTTTCTGTAAACGGCCCCAGGGAAACTTACTTTGAGGACGAGCCTCATACATGAAGCATTTTGACACGCGTAAGGATGTTATGCCTTCAGAGAACCAAAATTAATTTCAGGTTTATCATTTTCTACCAAAATGTGCAAGTTCTTGCTTGAGGTACTCTTTTACAACACGCCGCGTTGGGTACGCAGGGTGTTTAAGCAAATACACATGTAATGCATCCAGATGAACGTGTGAGTGTATTTTTATTTCGAGGTTCATTCACCGTCAGTACATTGAAATAAATCATGCGTGTGTACGGTACTTTGATGACATGTGTGTGATATGAGCACTGTTTTATATTTTATTTTTGTTTTTATGTTATCTAATTTCATGTGAAGTGATCCAAATAATGTACGTGACACACGTCTCTCACGCCGCAGTGAGATCTTACCGACATTTCTGCCATCACACGAAGACGCAGGCAGTAAGCTTCAATGAAATATCAGTCAGTATCCATCAGATTGCACGGTACAACATCCCAGAAGACAGCCATCTTCAGATTTGTGAGTGGTACTCATGTTCTTAAAAAATTTATATCGTATGAAATTCATAACTCTTGTTTGACAATTTTTTCACTGTGCAGTGCACATTACTCCATCCTTACTCCTGCTGATCTTTCTGTTATCATAGAGACTTCTCCTAACATTTTGGTCTCTCATTTGGTTCTTCAGGAGACCTCACAATGAATCCGTAAGACTCGGCTCCTGTTTATCGAGGCACGCGCACTCGTAGTAGTGTAGTGAGCTTGTCTTAATGAGAATGACATAAATTGAAATTTGATTTTTAAGTTAGGTATTTGTTTCAGATATGAAATAGGATACAACACATAATCACGTAGACATCTGTGAAGTCAAGATATGTTAATGTCTGAATGTTTGTTATTTTACTTGGATTGTTTTGTGTTCAGGTAAAGAAAGGAGAGTGTCCTCATTTCTACGAGCATTACTGTAATTTTATTTTATTCTTAATAACTGATGTGGTTATTTAGTTATGCTCTCTGAACTGGAGTTGTTGCATGACTGATTGACAAGAGAAGATGACCATAAGTTGTTAAGAGGTAATCATAACCTGTGAGAAATACCTTGGAAGCTGAGGAAAACTTTGACATTATTTGGTATTCTAGCCAAGCTTAGAAAATGAGTGTTACAGAGCAACTAGTACCTAACGTAAACTATTTGTCATCTAGATTAATATTGTA